AAGTCTAAGCAGGGAGGGAGGGAGGATAATTCTTCAAGTAAATGGTCGTTTTTAAGGACAAGCGGGCTAACCCAGATTTTGGGGGTTTCCAGAAATCTTGACCAACACCAAAAAGGGGCATTGCCTTACCTATTGGGAAAGTTTGGTTTCATTGGTGTGTATATTTGTTTGGCTATAGAGAAAACTCTTCTTGTCTTTTAAAGAAACTGAACAAGGGGCAAAAATTTACCTTCAATTTTCTCAAAACAGCATTTTTCAGGACAGCCCCCTTGTGCTTAAAAGCGACCAAATATTATGGCTTGTTCCCTTTGCCTGATCGCTGTTAAAACAAGATAAGATCAAATCACTCTGTTTAATCTTCTCACATCTTTGCACACGGGTCTAAAAGTTGGATGACAAACAAGAGTCTGAAAGCCCATTTATAGAGGTCACTGCTAGCTATAGTTCCGACACGTTTTCTTTGATGTTAGTCTACAACAGGTAGCAAAAAATAAAACGGGATTTACAGCGTACATCTAAAACATTAAAGAGTTGACATATTTTCCTCAAAACTACACCCTGTTCGCCTAAGAAACACCGTCCAAGAGACGAAGTGAGCACTTTTAGAAGACTCACGTGGAGACAGCTGGGAAAGAAATCTACAAGGTTACACTGAAATGTCGGGGCAGGGTGGCGTGGCTGTCTCAAATTGAGCAATTTGTAGGCTAAATTTTTCCATGCAGAAGAGTTAACGCTCAGATGCTACTGGATCGTAGGCTAGATTACTGTAAGTCATTTATTTTAGTGATTGTGTGTATGCACCCAAAGAATGGTTTTTAATATAGGGACTAAAATATAGAAACTTTTTTTATTACATGGTCAAATTTTCGGGGTAAAAATATTTTTGTTTGGTCGCTGTCGTGCAGAAATGCGACACAAAGTTTCAAGGACCTTGGTAAATTAATAAATTAGCTAGCTTTTTTTTTACGAGAACAGACAAAAGGGAACAAGCCATAATTTAAAAATGTTCGTCCCATGTAAATCATCACTGGTTAAATTCAATATCATTTTGAAAAATCAAAGCTCTTAGAAATATCTAAAAGTTAAAACAAAGACAGGAGAAAAAACAACAACTGACTTTCATTATAAGAGACATTCAATAAGTATTATCATATTTCATTCAAGCATTCAAATAAAGAAATAAAAACATATCGCTACCTCAGAAATACCAAATTTGATCTGCTCAGTACCTAATTTTGAGAAATTTGACTCCAAAGATTTTAAATTTTCACAACATATCAAGCTTTTCCGAATGCAATTCTTTTAATATCCTGATGACAATCCGAATAATCCTACAATTTTGACAGAGCAGATAAAACATAATGGTTTCTGACCTCATGGTCTTAGTAAACCAAACACGGCCAAAAATGTCAGATAGAACTTTGTAATTCATTCAAATGTCAGCTGAAGTCCTTTCTGTTTTTAAATTAATACGATGAACATTTGGAGTGATTTTCTTTTAGTCGGAACACAACGTTTTATGTTACTGTTGTACGTTGTACTGTATTGTAAAGCGCTCAGAGCCTAGGGGTTGAGCACTATATAAATGTCATTTATTATTATTATTATTATCATTAATTTTACTGTCGGAACATTTCGACAATCAAAGTCATGACAAGCTAAACTCAAATTCTACCAGCAGACAATACCCGTATGGAATGTCGACTCTGTCGTGCCAACACTCTAGTAAAGTTCTCAGCAGCTCCAGATTGTTCCGGAACACCTGACGATTTGTGTGGAAGACGTTGGCGATGAGAAAGCTGACCACGCGAGACGCCATGGCGCGACCTTCAGCCGAATCCTGGAGGGAAGCAAACAAGGCGTTGTGAAACAAAACTTAACAACAACATTTACTTTTTTTTGCTTTAGTTTTAGTAAGAATTTTTTAGTTTTGGTAGAGGTTTTACGGCCATCGCAACTGCATAAGGTCATATGAGTGCCAAGGGGTGGATGTCAACAGAGAAGTCCAAACGGGGAATCAGGCTTACTCTGCTCACCTCTCTGGCCTCAACAGCACAAAGTCTGCTTTTACTATCAAGGCACACCGGAAATAGCGGGTCACAAGAGTGTGACAAACATACAAAAAAAGAAGAAGAAAATGACAACAGTAAGGATCAGGAAAGAAAAAGCCGCAGCTCCCTGTTGTAGTTGAGGCACAGTTATGAGTATGACATCGTTGGATCAGCCCATTTACAATTCTACTGTGCATTAGAACGAGAAATGTCCCCCCTTTGGGAATGGCCTAAAAACACTTCAGTCAGTGGCAGCACCCCGGGGGGTTTAAAAGACCCGGTCATTCCGTGTGGTCACTTACCTCGGGGATGGCCACTGTGTGCCAGGACACCATGGTGACGATGAGGTCGACGGCAAAGTAGGTCACGCCGCTACCGCTGACCTCCGGAGAGAAGAGGAGCTGACAAAATGGCCGCAGCCAGAACTTGGCGAAGGGCTGGAATACCTGCAGGACACATCCACCGTAACAATAACATGGATTATTTTGTCTACGCCGGGTCCTCTTTGGGTACGCGGAGTTATTGATACAATCTTAAAGCCTGTTCATTTGCCTCGTTTTTGATGAAAAAAAAATACCCATTTGTCTTTAACCCTATCCGAACGCCTTGAGGTCATTTTGTACCCCCGAGGTTGTATTCTTCACATTTTACAATACTTCTAGTGTGAAGATCTCTTTGAAACTTTCAGTATTTCTCAAAAA